AGCAGCACAATTGGAAGAGCGTAGTCTATGTCACTGAACTGTGCATGTAGAAATTTTTGAAATGGTGTATCTTTGGCTATGCATATTTTCACCAAAAAAAAAAAAAAAGGTCGAGAATGGAGAGAGTTGACATGTTGTGGGGTTGTTAACCAATGTCATAAAACAATATGTGTACTACTGTTCATGAGAAACTATTGTTCTGTAAACCTTCAGCTGAAGGACAATAAAGAAAAAAAAGAATACATGTTGAATTTTATCAGAAAATTAAAAAAATAAAAAAACCAACTCACGTGTTCTGAAGTCTATAAAGTTTAGTCTCGATTACAGGCAGACTGTGGAAGTTCTAAAAGTTCTAAAATAAGGAAGTTCTAAAGAATATCCACATGTTCCTACATAAAGAGATCTTCCTCAGATACACTGAGTCAAGTCTAAATATAAGGTTTCCTAAACCCAGTCCAATGCTGTCTTTATCTTAGGCTATAGCAATTTGTTTAAAACACATATGTGCTACATGATAAAAAATTAAGAAAACATTTAGGTCAATTAAATTTGATATTAGAGTTTTATTTTTTAAAAAATATAATGACATGGAGAAAAACGTAGAACAAAGCTGAAATTCCTAAAACAGGCCAGACTCAGTGTATAGGGTCACTATGAGTTGGAATCAACTGGGGAGGAATGGGTTTTTTTGGTTTTACTGGACTGGTAGAGACTAGAGGATCCTCTGAGACTATGGCCTTGAGATACCCTTTAAATTTGGAACTGAACCTACTCTCAGAGGTCACTTTTCAGCCAAATAATAGATTGGCTCATAAAATAAACAATATCACCCACGAGTACTGTGCTCCTTTAAATAATCATCTATATGAGACCAAAGGTCAATATTTATCCTAAAGCAAAGATGAGAAGGTAAGGGGCGGGGTGGGGGAGGTGGGTAGGGAAGCTAGATTAATGGAAACAGAACAACCAGAATGGAAATAATGAGAATATTGACACATTGTGAAAAATGTAACCAACGTCACTGAAGAATATTTATAAAAATTGTTAAATAGGAACCTAATTTGCTGTGCAAACTTTCACCAAAAATACAATAAAATAATTTAAAAAAGATTAAACACACACACACAAAAAAATGACATCTCCTAAAACAATTAACACAAGAGGTTACTGGAGAATGACAAGTTTTGACAAAAAAGTATAGGGTGGCATCAGTACTATTAGGATCATCAAACATGTCGAAATTGTGCTCCTAAAAATAATCCTGAAGTTACTCAAAATGGTTCATTTTATGAACCTTGGAATTTTAAAAATGTTTCCAATTTTTGTTTATTTGTTCACTTTTTGAAAATTTTTTGCCCCACTGATATTTAAGTTTTGGAAGCACTCTTTATTTATTTATTTATTACTCCACTAGTATTTGCATTTTGGTTAGTAGTCATCCTTTTCAACTCGCATTCTAATTTCTAAAAAAGTTATTGTATTAGTTTTTATGTTGCCTTGCTTCATGTTTCATTTTATTCATTTGTATTTGCTTTTTAAAAAAATTAACTTGGTCAGTTTACCAATTTTGCAAATTATTTCCACTACTAGCTGACTCTTCTGGAGGAATGTTTTACCAATATAATGCTGTTATTTATTGATATGATAGTTGCTTGAAGAAACTGGGCTAAAAAATGACCAAATGATTTCTATGCTAATTATGGGAGCTGCCACACTGGATCTGACAAATAGAATACTAACTTTATTAAAAATAGAGTGCAATAAAATCTACCCAATGATATTACTCATGACACCCTCCCTTCTTTAGACACCTGCCTAAAAAGGACAAAGTCTTTTGCCTAAGCCTGAATTCAAAGCCCTTTCTAACCGACTGTACCCACTTTTGCTAGTTTATCTTGGAGCCCTGGTAGCACTGCAGTTAAAAGCTTGGCTGCTAACCAAAAGATCGGCAGTTCGAATCCACCAGCCGCTCACTGGAAACCCTATGGGGCAGTTCTACTCTGTCCTGTATGGTCGCTATACGTCGGAATCAACTTGATGGCAATAGGTTAGGTTTGGTTTGGTTTGGTTTGATTTGGTTAGTTACTCATACAAAGTACCTCTTCGCAGGCAGGGAGATACATGGTATCCAGGAGTGGTCACATGATTTGAAAACTTAATGTGCATAAATGAGTGGATTTTTTTACCGATAAAATGGTGAAGCATATTAACTATGCAAACTTTGGATTTTTAGCTCTGGTACCAAAAAACCTTGAATAGCTTAATAACTGTATTAGTACAGAAGTATACAGTGATATCCTGGTCTTTTTAAGGAATATTGGTAAGGTTGATGAAGATTATAGCGCTTAATATGCTAACCTGGTCTCTGTCATCACAGTGTGCATGTTGGGTCTGGCATATCGAAATTCTGCCTCCAGTTTTACATCACTCATGGCGGCGCTTGGTTCCTACTGCACCAGTTTTATAACTATGGTATATTTTTTCAGAGCTAGGCAGTCCCAAACATTGCCCAGAAGAATGTTTCTCAACTTCCTTGTACTTTAGATTCACTTGAGAAGCTTTCATAGTGCTGCCTGGGCTCTGCCCTCTGAAATTCTGATTTAATTCGTACAGGGTAGGTCTCAGGCAACAATTTTTATTAAAAGCCTCCTTGCGTGGCTCCAGTGTGCAGCCTAGGTGAGAACCACCAGCCTAGAGTTTGGCCAGAGTAATCAGACATTTCTGGGCAGTTTTAAAAATTTGTTTATTCATTTCCAAATTTTATGTCTGTTTAATCTTCCTAGGAAGTTAAATTAATAGGAAAGATGCTTAATAATTACTCTTCTTAAAGGGTGCAGACATTGTAACAAAGCATGGTTCATATTTATTGGAACCTGTGAATCGCTTCTGAAATTGTGACTTTATTTCCAACAACCAGCTCTAAAGTTCTCTAAAATCTGATTCCACTGTACTCAGGGAAACTTTCAGTAAGAAACAATTGCAGTCCAGGTACAGTGTGTTAAATTCACATATTAAGTTTGCGACTGGACACCAGACCTACGGAAAGAGACACCTCTTGTTTTACTAAGCTTTGTAGGTGATTCTCTTGCCCTGTAAAGTTTGAGATCCACGTCCTTAGCATTTAAGCATCAAATGTCTTAACAAAATTGAGAAAATAGCGGTGCTTCATAATGACAAATAACTATGAATGATACTTTATATCTATCTACCTCTTAGTCTGCTGTACCTCAGAACACTAAGTTATATTTTAGTCAATCCCCTTTTGATTTATACAATCCTTAGCCAAATTGTCCACACAACTTCTTTGCATATGACGGGGCTTGGGGAGGTTAGGGGACTGTGAAGAATAAGATAGGGAATGAGAAGCTTTCAGACTCTGCAGATTTAGTTGACATAAAATCACTGCACTTCATTTTCTTGTCAAAAAGTAAAGTCTTAATGTCATTTCTACTCAGTATCTATCAAAAGTTCCCCTCAGAGAAACAGTATTTGAAAACTATTTGAAGAAGACCTAGTCCATCCATTCCCCCAGAGAGGCACAAATATTCACCTGGACTCAGCCAAACCAGAAGAGGCAGCAGATCCATAACCAGGTAACACTGCATCAATCTCTCATCAAACTGAATCTGCTGAATTATGTTTTCATGCATTGTCATTTCCTATACAGGACAGCTATATAAAATAGTCCTGTGAGACATGTCACAGCAGAGAGGATAAGAATGCTTTGAACACATTATTCCTCATATTACTGAGTCCTCTTTACAAAATTCTTAGGGAAATTTTATCTCATGTAGTTATGCTTCTCCTGAGCAATGGACTTTTCTTTGTCTTATGGATATTGTGAACTTTGTAACAAACACATTTTTCCTTATATGTAAGCTCAAGTTAGATTGTATGCATCTTAAAGGTACACACACACGCGCACACACATACACAGAGCTTTGCATTTTACATAGCACTTGGAAAAGCTCTTGTATCTAGTAAACGTGCAGTACCAGTTAGTTAACCACGTTTGTCTTTCTACCTGCCTATTTCTGATACTTCTTCCTGAAAATGCAATTTGGAGCAACTGCTTCAGTCAGTGCGCAACAACCTGGATAAACAGAGAGGATACAATTAAAGAATTACCTTTAGAATCGTACTTTTCATCTTTGAAATTGCTTTATCCCTGATCGCCTCAAGTTGTTTCAATGCCAGGGCAGCTTGCTTCAACTGTTCTTCACAAAATTCATCTAGAGAATATGTACGAGATCTATCCAGCTAATTAAATGACAGTAAAGGTTGAGTGGTGGAAAGTCAAAAGATTTATAAAAAAAATCAAAAAAGATAAAACGTCGTGGTCATCTCTTTCACATCATAAAGAAGAGCATATTTCATACTTTCTTCATGTTCTTTATCATTTATACACTATGTGCCTTATACGTTCTTCAAATTTAAACATCCAGTTAAACCTAACTAAATCTTGATAAAAAGACAGAAAAATACATTATTATCTGAATCATAAATAAGATTAATTCAAAGCAGAAAAATTCAAGAATTGAGGTATTTTAGAAATATTCGCGAACCCAAGGGAACCACCAATCCCAGGAATTTCAGTCCCACTGGACTCTTGGAAGTCTCAATTATTTGAAAACTTAAAAATATGAATGTTAAATGCAGTTAACGAGTCTAAAAGAAAATAATCCAAATAAAGTAAATTTATTCAGAATCCGGCAAGAAGAAATCTCCAAGAACTATGCTACTGAACTTCTCTCTGGTAATACAGAAACTGAATGTTCGATCTGTTTATGTACATCTAATCATTCTTCTTTCCTTCAGTATTTCTCTTTTTCCTACACCGTGTTAATTCTCTTACCAAAATAAATTTTCATCAATAAATATGCAGACATCTTTATCCCCACTTACACTGTAAAATTTACAAATGTTATGTTTCCAAAAATGAAAAAAAAGATTAAAAAGTACTGCTCCAGGCTTAAATTTTTTAATTTAATCTTTGAGCTCTCCCTCTCCCAGTCCCATTTCTGATTACCAGGTCCTAATTTTTCCAAGTCAATTATGTTTCAAAAATATCCCTTCCTTTCTGATCTCACTGCCAGCATCCTAACTGAAGTCCTTACTGCTTATGCCTGCATTATTCCAATACTATATTATTTGATCTCTTTAACCCTAGTATCTCCCCACTTTCAAGTTTTCCCACAAACCAATATCACATTAATTTTCCCAAAATAACATGTTTAGAAACTTTTAATAGTTGTTCTACAAGAGTAGTTCTCAAAATGTACTCTGTATTAGAACCACCCGAGGGACTTGTTAAAAATGTAGATTACCAGTATCACTCTCTGCACCTCCCCAAGGGGCGGGACACAAAAATCTACATTTCTATTAAGCATCCAAAATACTATCCAACAGAACAAAATTCACTTTTGAATATGAAACATAATAAAAAATCCCAACTCTGTCTTTAGTTGGTTCTGTGCCTTGGATAAATCAATCTCTCTAGGACTCAGTTTTGTCATTTGAAAATTCACTGTCAAGGGAATCATGCCCTTTGGAGATATTTTTGAATATTACCCATCCACAGTGATGGTTTACTTACGGATCATAAATCTGTATTCCCTTTGACTGAAAACTCCATTTCTTCTAGTTTCTGTGTACCAATCTTTATAAAGATTATACTAATCTTTATTAGTACTATATTTGTACCCACCTTTACAAGGTATATGGCAGATGGATTATCTTCAAGTCCATTATCTTTTTTGAGGTTAACTGCATCTTCACAAAGTCCTCTAATATAAAGCAAACAGCTTTGAAACGACTCATCGGCCCAAAAAAGATGGCGGCACAAAAACGACCTGAAAGTTAAAACATTTTCACGGACTTCTCTCTCACTCAAAGTAAATGAAATTAATTTAGAGGTAACTAGTATAATTTACTTCATATGCCTGTATTTAAAATATACTACAGCTACCACATTTTAAATTGACATTAATAAAGATTAGTAAGCATTAGGAGTTTATGGCTGATTATGTTGTAGGCAGGGTTTTAGGTACTGGGTATGTTAGGTTAAAATGAAATAAGAGAGGGGAAACAAATGATGATGTTACTCTGTTATGACAATGCATTCTAAGAATTTTTAATTATTAGGCAGTGATACCCAAAGAGAATTATAAAAACAATTTTCTGTATATTTTCCTCAATTATAGGAAAAAAGTCAACAGGTTAGGATAGTGGCCCAAGGACCATTTGGAGAATGTTCCTTAAATTCTCCAACCACTTATACCCTAAAGTAGAAAAGATGAGACCTTTTCTTTTCTCTGTTCCTTTCTACTGGTCCATTAATGGTCACAGAGGTGACCCAAATTGCTGTTAAC